TATTTTTAACAAATTTTTATTAAAGTTTATTGGTACTACAGTATGTCAGCAGTGAATTTAGCCTATACATATAACTTATGGCAGTTTCCAGTGAGTAAGAATTTAAGAGCATAATATTAATACTAATAAAAGTAATAGCATCTCCATTGCACACCAAGTTGTAACTGTAACACTAACAGAGTAACTATTTGTCAAACTTACCAGTTGATCTAACTTATACTCTCTTTTAATTTGTGTATTAATGCCTGAAATTTGAAAATAATCAGTAGACAGTTCAGAAATATCTAAGACTAAGAGTTTAATATTATCAGTAAAGTTTAGTAATTTTTAAAATATTCCTGTATCATTATTATCTTTGTAAATCAGAAAGAGTGAAGGCTCAAAAACTAATTCATATTTAGCAACAAGAAACAATAAAAGCTTGAAGATACTTATTTTAATGAAAGTCAGCTTTAAAACAACAGTAATAGCTTCAACGCAACTTAATGTACCACAAAAAGTGAAATATTTGACATTTAGGAATACGAAACTATCAGGCCAGGTTATCAAATATGATGGCTCAAGATAATATTGATTAAGGAATGTAACTGGATTTAGTAGCAATAAAAGGTATAATTATTAAAATTCTATAATGTTACTGACTTCTCAATAAAGATTTCTTCTGAATGATTTTTTTACTTGTTTTACTTTACATGACATATGTGTATCAACCTCAGTTGTCTGGGCCTTCATGATTTTGGTGAGATGCATAGGCAACAGAAGTGTAACATATGGGAAACATATGTAGTTAATAAAAATTATTGATAATAATAATAAGAGCTTTTGGCCAATGGACTGTTAATTTTTTTATTGAAAATTGTATATGGTATTTAGCTGGACCCAAGTATTATTATTGAACCTTGATCTGCTACAATTACATACACTAGATATACCAAATACTTTCATGTTTTTCAGTTAATTAGATTTTTTTAAAGCTTCTGCTCTCTTATATTGCAGACTTTTTACTAAAATAAGTGTCCTGGCACTTCTTGCCAGTAATTACAGAGAATCTCATAAGGTACACCACTAGTAATAATTTCATTTTGACTGGACTCAACTCCATTAATAAGAACTTAGTTTTCTCTCACATTACCCTTCAGTTACAGGCCACAGCAGAAATATTCTAAACAGTAATACAAATTGAATGTGTGAAAACTTTTTGAATGAAGGGGGTTGTAGAAGAATAGAAAAAATTGCCTAATGCTGCCATTATCAATGCCAAAAAATTAATTGACTTTAAAAGTCATATTGATCCTCTTTTGAGACAGAGAGGGGCTTACATGTGCATAAGAATAAGAAGGCTTCCTGCCCCAGTTTTTATGATTGCTGATGAGAAGTTGATTATATGAAGAACCAATGGTGGATTTAAGTAAATTCAATTAGCTAATCTTTTCCCAGCTTACTTTGATATGTTTTCTCTGTCAACCTTTCAGATGGCATCCTATCAAAAGACTTGAAAATCCAAGTACACCAAGTCCATAGTTTTTCAATTATTCAGATAAGTAATATCCTGGAAAAAAAGTTAACAGGTGAATAAAACAAGATTTCTGTTTAGTGAATCCATATTGGCTCTAATTTTATTATATCATAGTTTACTAAATTATAATGATGCTTCTTTTATCAGACTATTTTTTTCCCATTACAAAAGTAAGTAGGGCTTGGCAGTTAGTGATATTTGCTAATTGACTAATTGATGGCCTCATTAAGTGATTAACTTGATTATTCTTTAAGTACAGTGTTCCTGAAACCATAGTATGTTCAAGTAAAAGAAAAAAAAAGAAACATAAAAACAAAAAACTTATAAGGCTGAAATTGGGTTGAGTACAAATAGCCTATTATGTAGCTTTGCACTTAACAACAAACATAATAGTAGTATTTCAGTTATTCAGATTTTGGAATAATTAAATATACTAATAATTAGGAACCATAATTTTGATTAGTTGATTATTTTTGTGACAATTGATATAATCAGAATTTTGATTAATGTCAATTGTTGGAATAAATGGAAACACTAATTTCAATTAATCAATTAATTGAAATTAGTAATTAATTGATTAGTTAGAATACAATAGTTAATATAATTGCTGCCTATAATTAATTGATTATATCAATTAAATTGCCTCGCTCTAGAAGTTTAATTAACTAGCCTATAATTTCAAAGACAACAATTCATATGTCCTTTAAAAATAGGAATAATCTTAGCAAATCTTCAATCTTCAGCCAATTGCTTACTGTCTTCTGCCCTTCCAAAAATGAAATAAGGAAACTTGCATATCTGTTTTTAACACACAAAATTTAAGGTTAACAAGGAACTTGATAGTCCATCTACATTGTCCCATCTACTAAACTAAACTTTAAAAAAACAATTCAAAGACAGCCCTTATTTAAATATTTATGAAGCCTTCTTTCAATTCTCATTAAATTACTGCATTTACCACATGTGAAGGCAAAAGAAAAATGGCTAAAAACCTGTTTTAGCTGAAGACATCTCTTACTCATTCTCACAATGAAGAATGAAAAAATAATATGATGTATTATCACTAGCAATTACTTTAACAATCAATCAGATCCCCTTTAACTCCTTTTTTTTTTTTCAAGACAAAACAATTTCAGAGATCCTAACTTGTTCTCGTATGGCAACCTTTCAATCCCAGGTATAGCCCTAGTAGTCCTTTGAACCCTTTCCAACTATTTGATTTCCTTTCTAAGATAAGGAGCTTCAGACTGAACCAAGTGCTCCAAATGTAGTCTAATCAATGACCTGTACAATGACATTATAACTTCTTTAGACTTGTATTCAATATTTCTGTAGATACAATCTAAAATCCTATTTGATCTACCACTTGCAACAGCACATTGCTTGGATGACTTAAGATAGCAATCAGTCAGAAGACCAAGATCTTTTTCTTACATAACATTGTTAAGGTTATTCCCATCAACATTATACTCATAATTCAAATTATAATATCCTATATGTATTACTTTGCATTTATTATAATTAAAAGTCATCTGCTATTTATTTTCCCAACTCGCCAAGTAATCAAAGTCCTTTTGTATCCTTTTCACAGCCAGCATCACTCAAAATTTTAATGTCATCAGCCAATTTAAATGATCTGTTGACCATTCCTTCATCTATGTCATTGATGCAAATAAAAAAGCAAAGGTCCTAACACTGATCCCTGAGATACTCCACTCATGACATTAATCTAGTTTGACTGTCCAGCCATTTTTGATATCCTCAACTTTAACAGAATGTAACTTGAATTTTAGATATAAAGCCATTCTTCCCCTTATTATCTATATCTAACCAACTTTCAGTTATTCCCATAATATCAAGATCCTCTATTGTGACTAGTGTTCTGTTTTATTTCTCATAATTCTTGCATTATGTAGTAAAAATTTACTTTCAAATATGTTGATTGATCACTGTATTTATACTAGACAAAAATATTATAATTTTTCTATGTGTATCTTTTATTCATAATTTACCAATATATTATAAAGGTTTTTAAAATATATTTCTTGCATCAACTAATTTTAATACTTTTGATTCTTGGGTGTTTAGACTAATTGGAAACTTGTGGATTCATTTATTTGATAATGGTCACACAAATGGCTGAAACATGATTCCAATAAAATATTCTTTTAACCCATACTTGTTATTGGTCTTGTAACAATGATGTGGAATAGTGAGTGGAATTCTCTAAACTTGTTATAATTTTTTTAAATGTGATATAATAAAAATAAAAAGTTTAACATGGAATCACTGGAAGGAGATATTTCCTTACTAATCTGATAACTTTTTTCCAGGATGTTACTTGTTATTTGGACAATAGAAAAGTTATGGACTTGGTGTAATTAGGTTTTCAAAAAGCTTCTGAACAGCTGCTACAAAGAAGATTAGCTAAGAAATTCACACTGTTAGAAGTTGTGGAAAGACTAGTTAATGGACTGTATCTAGTGTTAGTGGAGGGAAAGCAAGAGGTTGTTTTTAATAACCTCATCAAACTGTGCTGTTTCATTACTAGTGGGTTGGTGCTAGGGTTTTGGCTATTTTCATATTTAAATTGATGTATGGGAGTGTATGGTTAATTGGTGAGAGAAAGTAAAATGTTGTTTATTAATTAATAGTCTCATCAAAATGGACTGTCGTTACTTGTGGAGTGCATTTTGAGTCAGTCTTCAGCTTTTGCTGTTTTTGTGCCAACATTAATGATGTTGATAGGGGCATTAATTAGTAAGTTAATACATTTTGCTGATATTAAATTCTTGCATATTTCTAGCTATATTTTGGGCATTGAGGTATTACAGGTGGTTTGGATCAATTAGTGAATTGGACAAATAATTAACAAATGACATTTAATTATAGTAAGTACAAGGTTATTCATTTGGGTTTGGGTTATCGTATTTTTGTTCACATTTTATGTACTTGAGGACCACTTCAATAGCATGAGTAATGAAAAGAATCTTAGTTTAATGGTGGATAAGTTACTCAAGCCATTGAAGCAGTGCTCTGTTGCGAGCAGTAAAGGTGTATTTATATACATATTGATTGTGTCCAAAGAGTTAATTATCTATCTATACAAATCACTAATTGGGCCTCACTTGGAATGCTGTGCACAGTTTTCATATACATATATAAGAAAGAATACTGAATTATTGGGAAGTATTAGTAGGACTGTGATAAGGATGATCCTGAGAATGGAAGGTTTATTGTATAGGGATAGGTTAAGATATCAACTTTTTTTTATTGAGAAAAGAAGAATAAGAGGTGATAATATTGAAGCTTACAATATTATTTAGGGGATTGATAGGATAAAGGCCTAGATTATGCTTTATCCTGAAGATAATAGGACATGAGGATATAAAATTAACATTTGGAAGTAAAATAGGTTAGGCTACAGTTAAGGCAGTTTTACTTTTCTATCAGGATGATTGGCTTATGAATGAGTTTTTCATAGGCAGAAGTGGAAGCTGGCATTAGAGTTGAAGAGAGGAATCAAACATTACCTGAAAAGCAAATGATGGGGTAAATTTTTACATTTCTCTAGGGTGGGTGTGCAAGAATAGCCTTGAAGGATCAATGGTCCCTTGTTGTCCATATGTTATGCTATGTTAAACCTGTGTGATGTAGTGGGATTCCTGAAAGAACTATTTTACAGATTCCTTCCTTAAATCACTTAATTGGCTATTAGAGCAGTAGTTAAAAAAAGATGTAATGATCTGAACAAAATGCTGCTACAACTAGGGTCAAACAAAAACAAGTTATCAATATATAACAACAGAAATCTAAAATAAAACTTTAAACAACTGGAATACAATTTTTATCACTTACATTAAACAACTAGTAAACCCATGCCTGGCCAAGACTAGGTACATACATCAATAAACAATACAACATAAATCTCAATGTGATTAATTTCCATAGATATCAAAGGAGTTAGGAAAAAGAGCTAAAAGAATGAAAAACCTAATTCACCTGAGAATAACAGTGTTTCAAAATTAAACCATTTCTCGATACTAAGAACAATATTGAGCAGTAATTAGCAATAATTCTTTAACTATATCTCATGAACAAACTCATTTTCAAGATAAGGAAGGCTTTTTATTTAGTGGTTAAACCATGAGACTACATCCCATGTGACTAGCTATTACCATAAATCTACATAATCTTTCACAACATTGATATCTATACATTACTGCTAGGGGAAGCTGGTTTCAGTTTTATAATACATACATATTCAAAATAAATGTACTCTAACTAGGAGGTGAGTTAGTATTTTAATATAACTAAAATTTTGTAGTTGAACTAAATGATAGAAGGAATAATACATAAGTATAAACAAAACCATATAAGTAGGATTCACTATCTCACAAAGATACAACAAAACTCTTTGAAGATTTTTTATTTTTGTACATATTAATTTTCAAAGAGAGCTGTTTCATCTTTTCAAACTCTTTGCTATGTGGTTGTGCTACAGGGAAAGCATTTCCTTTTTTTTTTAGTTCATTTTAGATTGTTATTCCAAACTACACAATGAACAAAGATGCATAACTTTCACTAATTTTGAACTGATAAGACTATAAAGGGAAGATCTAGTCAGCAATACACACCAACAAATCTTGGGCTACTCTTGCCTGGCTCAGTAGTTAATTTGACTATCACACTTTTCGCATATGCATGATCCCAAAGTGCTGAACACATTCATGTGGTAGTAGGATTTCAACCATGAATCTTCTGAATTACAGATCAGGAATGCTAACAACATCTGGCCATTCTGTTTTTGTTGTATTATACATATTTTGTGATTGAGGTTTGAAATTTGCAGAAACATTTCAGAGTAAACTGTATGGTTAGATTTGCATTATTGTACTTGTTTTTATTTAAAAAAAAAGTTCTTATTATCTATTGATTTTTAGTCACCTGAGAATGAGAGGCCTTTAATGTTAACCCTCAAAAAAGGGAATCCCAGGCTGAACTTTTGGCACAGAATCTAGTTAGTACATTTTCAGAGTTGCTGTTGCTAATTTAATTAGCTTTTACATGCACTACAAAAAAGCTTTTTTTTTCTTCTTTCAACAAAACTGTTTCCTGTACAACATTTTGAAATTTAGTCTCATAAGGAAATTTTACTTGTAGTTTTCAATGTGCTTCATTATATTTGCCCGTTAAGTACACTTAATTGTAGAGTCTCTTGCAACATACAACTTGGGATCCTTTCATTCTTTCTCTTCTCAACAACATCCATAGGTTCAAATGTATTAGGGTTAATTTCCAGTATGTGCCTTACATCTGCTTTCTTTGCCTAGACCTAACCTGCCATTATAGCACACCGTAATAAACCAAATATTTTCTTCATATTCACTTGTCATCGTGACCTTGACTTTAACATTTTCTATTTTTTTTCTTTCTATAGTTTCATGACCTAACTAGCTTCTTTCTATTCCTAAATTAGCAAGTTCCACCAAAGTAAACTCTACATTTCTTTCAAGAAGTGAGCTTTACAAACTCCATCATATCATTCTGAAGATAAGAGGAAAATACATGTGTGATCTCTAATGGAAACAATTAGAGAATTATGATGCAAAGGTTATAATAATTCAAGCCCCTTTTTACATGAAAATGTAAAATTAACTTAGTGTTTGCCTTCAGAAGGAGTTAAATATAATATTTTATAAGAGAAAATTCAATAATTAAAAATCTTTCATTTCAAACGGTGTTTATCCAACAGTATGGCAGCCATCCGTCATTCCTTACAACGTGACGTTTTTCAACCCAATGATGAAAGAATAGTTGGTGTGGTGAGTGTAGCTAAATCCAGTAAGAAAAAGAAAACCAGCTTCCTGTGTGCTGTAGGTAAGCAAAGAAACAAAATATAATTTTTAACATTAGTAGAATCCTACATGTTAAACAATTACTGCTGAAAAAGAGTTTTTACAGAAATGATGTATTTATGATATTGTTGTAAGCAATGTTTTCAATGATATAATTTAGTTGTTTTCTAGAAGGAAGTGCTAATAGTGATGATGATGATACTATATATATAGAGAAATTCATCAAATGTATTCCTAGGATCTAGAAACTTCCAATACTTGATAGAAGAGAGAGAGAGAGTTCAGTATAAATACAAAAATGGATAATTGAATAGTTGATGATTTAGGAAAGACTGAGTAGCTGATTGAGTAAGGTTATTTGGATCACTTAGAGTTACTGCTTCTGTTAGCTAATTAGCAAGTTTGTTATGTTTATTTTCAATCATTGAAATTTTTGTTAAATCTTAATAATGTATTGGGAGTTTCTGTTGAAAAATTTTGTAGTTGAAGCTAGGCCTTTAGGTTAATGTGGCTGTAGCAAACATTAAAGAAATGGATTAGTTCATTATGGGCTGGATCTTGCATTAGCTTTACCAAATAATCCAAAAGAACTCACTGTATGGTTAGATCAATGTTGCAACAGCAGTTTCGAAAGTGGGATTGTTTTGGTGAAAATAAAATAGAATTTTGACTAAGTTTCAACTTTCAAAGTGATCACATGGGCACAAAGCAAGATAGGAAACTCGCTAGAGATGATGAAAGAACAGCAAACAGAGAGCATTAAAAAAAAAAAGATCAAGAAGAAAGAGAAAATTGAAAGAAGATCTCATGAAGAAATTTATAGAAAAACAAGAGAATAGTTAAAAGAAAGATACATAAATGTTTATTCTTTATGTATAATTATAAAAGTAACTAAAATGTAAAAATAGGGATCCTTTTAGGTTTGTTAAGATTAGATTAGGTAAAGTAAATAATAATAATATTATAATAAAAATATTTCATGAGGTACACATGCGAACAGCTTGTGGGTAATGTAATTCGTTAGTGTAACGTGAGCTGCATGTTCTCCGAGTGATTTACAACTTAAATGGCGTGGATAGTAGTTAGACACAGTTCAAAGGACAATAAAACAATAAAATTTTATTATAAATAGATATATACTGTTACGAACTTAGAGCTACTTAGGATAAACAAATGTAGTTTCATGTTACAATATGAAGTCATTCAAGAAAGAAAAAAGGGTAATTTAGTTTAATTTTGATTTTTTTTTGTGGTTATGAGGTCGGTCGAGTGTACCAATCCCATTTTGAGATAAGGTAGAGAAAATAACAGATAAAGTGTAAAGTTTTATTGAAAAAAAAGTTTGAAATGCATTCAGGAGGTTTTAGGGATTACACAAAGGAAATTTTAGATTTTTGAGAAGAGGGAAAAGTATTTTTAATTTTAACATGATTTAATTTTAACTATTCAAAACAAATATTCAATATATTCATGGCCAAAGCTTTATTTTATTTTATTAAAAATAATTCACTAAAAATAAGATTTTTTTGTTTGTGAAAGACTTGTAATATTAATTTAAAGACTGCCAAATTTTGTGAAGATATACACACTATATTGAAAGTTAGAAGCATTAAATCTATAAAGTCTTTGAACAAGTACAAAGAGGTTACATGGTTGGTCAAATTGACCGAGCCCATGTTGAGAGAGTTAAAAGGATCAGCTTTAATGACAATGAGTATCTGAATGCTGTAACAACTATCAAGCATTGATAGCTGCCTTATCCAACATGTTTAGAGTGACACACCGGACGGAAAAATCCAGAGAAACGTTTTGTAACAAGGTATGGAGGAGAGAACTTGTGGAAGATTTAGAAAGAATTGTCCAGTTATCTTACTCAGATGTTCCACATGAAATGATGGATTTGTTGACACATGACCAATTTTAGATGCCATAACATACATGGATATGAGAATTATGCTGAAGCACAGTTGGTGTACAACTTTAAAGGAAGCTCTGCAAATGGCTATGGAACTTGAATCCATTAATGTTTCAAATAGACAACTAAAGGCATCATCTACAAGTTGTAGGATTATCAGATTGAATAGTATTGTTACAACAGCGGAAGTCACGTGATGCTAGTAACACGTCGTGATATTCTCGATGGTTCTTCAATGCTCGAGTGTTTACTAGATGTACAGTATTCTTATATATAAGACCGCCAAGAAGTGACGGCAACAATGGAATTGAATTGCAGACAGAGATAGAGACGGACAATTGAGTCAAGCACGTGAAT